ATCTTACATGTCTTAAAGCAGTTTATTGATTCATCATACAGGCATGAAGAGAAATTGAAAATACAAAATGGACCATTATTCATGCAGAAAAAGACACTGCACCAAACGCCAATTCATCAAGTTCAAAACTTACAACATACAGTTCTGTATTATCAACATTATGCAAACTGACTTGTTATTACAAAATTTCTTTATACATTTTTTATTCCCCCACCATAGTGACATTGATAGTGAATTGCACCACAGGGATAACAGAATGGACAAATTTTATGACGTTATAAAATTACTGTGGCTAAATTCTAATCAGGAAATATCACGCTTTAGGATTTGCGAATGTGACATCTCACATGAACATTCACATTTTTCTGAATTACATCCTGGTTGAAAAGGTACACAAACTTCTTTCTCATTCAGGCTGAAACAGGAAGGGGTGGTTGTATTGTCCTGAGCTTTAAGTAACTGACCCTACCTAATTTACATTAAATAATCCAATTCATCAGCAAACAAAAACACAGTATTGCTGTCAAAATGACCTTTGGAACTGTTTACCCACAACACGCCTCCATGATGACTATCACTGCCTGACCCGTGTCATGCTTGTTTTCATGCTATATAAAAAGGAGGAGCTCATGGTTATAATTTTCCCCATTAATCTGACTGAACCCCGCGGCTCATTACTGATGCTGGGAGCTCAGGTGGGAGGATGGGACTGACCTCTGTTCCCCTTCTCCAATCAACGTGCCATGCCTACAGATAACACATAATTTGTTGCGTTTTTTTGATTAAATATATTCTGCCTAGTTCATAATATCTTTGATTACTCACTGTCTGAATTATTCTGAATTATAATAATAGATTAATTTCAAAATATAATTTTTCATCATGTCAGAATTTTGCTGGCAGACACACCCAAGCTGAGTACAATTTGACAATGTCATCAAATTTTGTTGTGTCGGTTTCCTAGGGAGTGAACGACTTGCCACCATCATCAGACACTGGTCTCAAATTACACTGGCTCCGTAATTGTATATAATAATGGAGTCATTTAAATTGCTTCTTTAGGAGGGACTTTAATTCTCTGAAGATGAACGTATTTTAATGTTGAATCATTTGGGAGAATGCTTTCCCAAGCGTTGACTGTATCCAATCAATCTGCTGTGCATACTCCATTGATTAATATAATGATTCAATTTGTGAGAGACATGGTATCACAAAGAAGTGACCTGGATACTCTGTGTGCAGGGGAACTAACTACCATGTCAGTTGCTGAAGGGAAATTATCATTCTGACCTTCATCACACCAACCTTTGGAGGGGAAAATGATGGAGTGGCAGAGTCAGTCCTTAGCTAGGAAGTAATATGGCAGCTGGTTTTATTCTGTTTTGGTAGGGTTGCACCCGGAAGAGCATGAATGTCATCTATTTTGGTAGGGGCAGTGACATCAGTGCCCTAAGGCGGTAGTGGTATGCACTAGCTGCTGGAGGGGCACTTGCTACGTTGTAGCCATTACCATGAAAATGGCCTGCAGCTAAATATGATAGTGGGACACAGATAGCAGTCCTTTTCAGAAAAACCATACCTAAAACCGTGCTTCCATAGTCTGCTAGCAAGGAAATCTAAGCTCACCATACCAGGAAGACAATACATGGTGCACATACGACACAGGTGTTACCGGTGAAGAAGGATTTTCATCCATTTCTGTGAATAGAGATTACCTCAAGATTTCTCTCTAATCCGACACAAAGGTATTCTACTTACATTCAACGTGGCAGGGCAGAGTCAGACAGAATTAGCCATGGTGCAGCGCCATTCATCCACGTTCAGGAGACCCTGATGCCGCATAGGCTAATGCACAACCGTGTAGGCAGGGCCAAAATCCCTGCCTCAGGACTGGACCATTCTCTCTGGGAGGGGGAGGGACTGTCTTGCTTGTAACACAACACTACCGCTAGCTCTTATCTTTAATCAGATCATAATATTATTTTTGTATCAACTCTGACGAGGAAAATTTCAAAAATACCAAGATGTCAGAAATTTATCCTGTTTCATCATAGGATTTTGTAAAGAAGAGAATGATCTTTGTCTCCCAGAAAAATTGGACATTGGGCATACAGCTGAGGGCTGCTGATTTGCATATCCAGCTCGACGCCTGTCAAGTGCTGTTGGGTATTGATTCTGTAGGTGCTTGTGAGTTGTGTGGCACTGTTGACGTTGCAAACAGTCAATACAAGCACACTGGGGCATGTTTCAATGCCGTGTCAGCGGACGCTTGAGAACAAGTGGCCATGTTGGCATTCACATGTTTGGTACACATCGAATAAACAGCAAAAACAGCCCGGACACTTATGTTTCATCTCTAGTGATCATTTAACTCCAGCCAACACTGACAAATCCACAGAGAGAGAGAAGAAAACTGGACCAGAAGTGCTTTCCAACTGTCAGAATCAAATCTGGCAGTGCAGACAATATATATACACCCACACAGCCATGTTCAAATACACCATTTTTCTCACAGCTCAACATAACCTGTAATTCAATAAACCAGCAACAGGATTCGATTATGACCGACTTTCCCATGGAATAATAGCAGGGAGAGGCAGGATCTGTGAACTGGGGAGAAAGGAAGGCATATCTTCCTAATGCAGGGTGCCTCCGTGATCAATTAATTATGAGCCTGTCCAATCCCATTTATTTGTGGGGCTGACAATGCGGTGACGTCATGTGGTCCTACATAAATACTGTCCAACACGGATGAATTATTGATCCTTTTTTCATCTAGGGATACATGTACGTGGGCTGGACATGCAATCAGGAAATATAAAATTAGGATCATATTTTCAACAGTTAACCTGCAACATTGAACAACCTCAATCAAAATGTAACTATATGTAAATCCATGTGTAGTCTTTCCAATATATGAAGTAACTATGTAAATTTATGATGCATATAAAACTATCATTGTGCAAAGGATTGGAATATATTTTTTTGCAACTACGACAATTACAGTCATGCAATCATAAGTACACATACATTACACTCGAAGATTTTTACCAAAAATTAAATGAAAATCTTACCAAAAACTTTATCCAAATTCAATGACCCTTAGTACTAGTATGGAACCCCTGTTCAATTCACCTCAAAATTGACTCAAATCCGCTGTATGATATCCAGTCCAGTTCCCCTGAGTCTTGTTGTGTAAGACTGATGACAGTCATATAGGGAGAGCAGCAGACACCACATGACTCACAGGTGCACTAATTACTGGGTCATCCCAACAAAGGTGTGCCATAACACCAGGACCAGGACACTCCTAAACTAGTAATAAACCCACTTTGCACATGGATTATGGTAACACATCTTTGATTTTAATTGTAGATTTAATTGTGATAAAAACCAAAATCTGTTCAAGGTACTAGTACTTGGGAGAACAATTTGAGATATGACACAATGCTGTTAATGTTAGAGCAACTTTAACGGCGGTATAATGGTCCATGATAGTATGTTGGTCAATATTGTAGTTATGGATCCTACTCTGGAAGCAGTCAATGTTACGCAAACTACACATTTCTCTTCTTTCCACTGTTAATGTAGCATATAGAACATGGAATGCAGCTGTTTTAATCTAGATGACACTTTAAATTTCATAACTCAGCTCTAAGACTGCCACATGCTCAAGGACTTCTCAAGAATGTCTTGAATACTTGTCCTGGATATCTGAAGTCTTAAGGTACCTGGCGGAATGATGAGAGTCGATATGAACAACCAAATTAATAGCCAGGACCATATTGAATGACTTTTATCTTCAAAGACTTGGAAGGGACTTCAAAGTTGGTGATGTTAGCATTGTTACCTTTGTTATTCAAATGAGTGATGATTCAATTAGCTTTCACGCAAATTCTCCCATGAATTCTATACCCCAATAGACTTCACCTCTCCAAGACTCCTAGTTCTTTGTGAGTAGGAATAGCTGTTAATGCACCTTTGTGGAACTCATCCTTTGAAAGCAATCTTTTGGTTGTGGTTCCCATCTGACACTTATTCCCCAAACATACCAAGAACACCGGGCAAATACAAGAGATCTGACCTAGAATTATCCAAGTCTTCTTCCTTGACAAAACAACATTGTTGACTTATCTCAAAATATCCTCCTATAAATACAATCTAATTGCATTTTGCCAAGTTGAGGTGAGTTGGATAAAAGATCGATGGTAAGTAATGGGGCCAATTACTGCAGGCAACAAGGAGTCTGGAGAATTAATTACCTGGCAATCAAGTAAAGGATTTGGCCGTTAGTGCCTTCAGGCTCATCTAACACTTTAAAACTCAGGTGCTGCACTGGGAAAATACCTCTTATAGAGACACACAGATTTCTAGTTGACCTGGGAGGAAAGGATTTTAAGTTTCTGTTCAATTTTCATTGAAATATATAAAACCATCATGCAACACATATAGCCTAATACATGTATGCTCAATGTGTGCAATAAGATATTACAGTGAGCCAGGATCCAATTTGTCCCTAAGTTTATGACATACAGGAGCCTGCCTGCCTACATGGAGTTGATGACAATATTTCAAATTGATAAATGCTAAGCTCATGACACATATTTTTAATAGCAATAGCGAGCTGAATGCAAGCAATGACATGAACGATTACATGTTATCAAGTGCACAATGGCAGCCAGCTCATGATATATAATCCCCTATTGTAAGAAACAATCCATTTGCCAAAGTTGGGTCACAAAGAGGGTTACTGCTTAATGTACTGGGTACCAAATAACATGTGAAATGGAGCCTGTACTGTGCCAGTACAGCGGCATAAGACTGTACCTTAAGGACCAAATGACTTTTGTACAATAAAGATGTGTAGGTGTGTACATAGACTATGATAAAGTGAAATATAAGACAAGTGAACTATCAAAGGTTTCAAAGTCTAAAACTAAAAAAATATCATAATCTATGCCATTGCCTGTATGCAACTGTACAATGATAACTTGTCTTACCTTGCTTCTTCCACTTTCTCTGCTTCCACCTTCTGGTAGCGTTCCCACTCCCACCTGAAGGGGAAATGGACCAGGTTAGACAGGAACCATCCCGTACCAGACAGAACATTGTACATAGAGGCTGACAGTCTCTTAGGGAGTAGCTGAAAGTCTGACAACCCCATGGCAACATGTGACAGTGAGTGTCTCAGCTAAGATGTAACTTGGAACTGTAGCTATTTCAAAATCTTCTGTTGTCTAACAGTCAACTGTCTTATGCTGCTTGTTTTGTTTGTTTTGGGCCCAAACTGCAAATTAGTAAAAACGAACTGTCGTAAAAGAGGATAATTACTGACGCCTGTACAGATTCTAACTGTTTCCCTTTTAACTGTAGATCCACATTGCTATGCTTAATGGCATAATTGTCATTATTTCCCAAGTTGGTTAATTGGAGACAAAACAGTAGCAAGAGTATTTACCTAATTGGTGCATGTTCATGCTTAATGGACTGCCTTAGCATACAACATGTAGCATGTTTTGCAAACATTTTCAGATATTTATGTTAACCTTCTTCCTGCTAAGGGCAAGTCTGTAGCACATTATGCAGTGGGAAGGTTAAAAATCATTCAGTCTATCATTAGTAAGCACAATTACTTTAAAATGAACCCATTCAAATCCTTCAGCAAACTTTATACAATGCATACACAGGTATTTGTTCTACATATTAGCCGTTAGCTAAACATGTCTTGTGGCTGAATCTTCCTTTTCTCCTATTTTTTTACTTATCTAACATGGCAGACAAGAACACTGGCCATATAAAATGAACCAGTAGCTAAGTTGGTAGACTGGTTTGTTTCTACCCCTTCCCTTGAGACATCAGCAGTTAATAATTGCAGAAAAGGGTAGGATCAGTATCATTACAAAGGAAGAGACTCCCAGGGGAGATGTAATGGAGTTAATTATAAGCAGGGGAAAGGAACAGAGCTATCCTCACCTCTACAGAGTACACATTCATCATTCAGTAACTGACAGACAACATCCCTACTGTCATTTTCAAAGTCCATGAGAGTCCACTCTGTTGATGTTGGACCATTAGAATTGGCAGCTTTTTAAATCCGGAATAATTAACTTGAGACTCTGGCTTTAATTTCCTTGTCTGGAATGTTTCTGGTTTGTGGACTTAAGGTAAATTGGCCAGCGTAATTTTTCAGTTACAATCAATTTCTGAAATTACAGAGTTACAAATGTACAATGTACTGTGTAGCAACATTATGTAGTGTCTACAATACAGCTGTATACTACCAGTGTCAGGTGTTGGTTTGCCTGTGAATGAGGCAATGGCTAACTAATCAAACTATCTATTACGGCTCAGGCATACTGCTCGGCCATCTGAAAATCAACTCCAAGTGCAAGTTATATGTTATGATGATGTAAACCCTTCAGAATCTGTAGTCCATTTGAGGATTACATCGTGCAGTAACGCACAAGTCATGTATACAGAAATAGAAACATGTTCTGTGGAACTAAGTAGAATATATCCTACTCTGACCATATACAAGGCCATTATTGGGATTCCTGATCCTTTTGCTAGCCTTACATGTAATATATAAAAGTCATACATGGGGCGAGTGCACATGTATCACTTCAATTATACAGAGATGTACATGTATGCAGGCTCTTGGACTCTGATGTTCCTTTTTCATCACCATCGCCCATATCTCTACAAAGACAGACGACACTGCTGAACTAATACCACGGCAGGAGAGTATACTCTAAAGCACATTAGCAATGACTCACGCCACTTGAAAGCAGAAACCTCTGCTATAAACTACTCTCATTTAACCATGAAAGCTCCCTGTTATCTGAAGAGAATATTGGTTATTTCGTGCAAAGCTCTTTCTGATCCTTCCACACTAGTGCTGGCCTGCCCATTCCTCAGTATAGGAAAATCAGTAATGCTGTTTGCCGGTAGAATACTAAGCAGACAAGACGCACATTCAGCAGGTTTCCAAGAGCCATTTAATGGTGCTCTCAAGTTGGCAACCACTTGTGACTTAAGCTGGATTCATGTGACTGTTGAATATCACCCTGTAGTTAAAACGTGCACTGAATACTGCACGGTGGTATGAATGCCAGGGATTAGTTCTCAATGACTGAACTCCATTATCGTTTGGAATATCTCCTTCAGCAGCATTTGCATTAAGCTTGCAGAGCTCATATTTCCTACACGTAAAGAGAGAAAGTAAGAGTTGATAGAAGGATAACTTTCTAATTCTTCTTGATTTTAAAGGATAGACACTGCTTTTCTGTAATTATGATTATGTATACTAGGATGACTACAAGAGTAGAAAACAAATATTATAATATATAAATTTTTGTAGATGTAGATGTACTTACGAGAGGCTGAGGACACTCTTGGGAGAGATGGGTGAGGGGATGAGAGGAGGGGGAGAGTCTCCTTCTCCATCTGAGTTCAGGGACATGGTGCTACCCAGGCCGACTCCATTCATCTGGTGGAAACAAAGTCAATGATTCCAATAAACACATCATAATTTGCATTTTTCATGTTCAATTCATTGAGGGCATTTCAATAACATGTTGGTTAATGTTAATTGATAATGGTTCTGAGCCATTTACAATGTAATGTCATGCTTATAATATTAAGTACTCAAAAGCTACTACTAGTACACCTGTTACCAGACAGCAGTGCCCCCTAGTGGACAATGTAAATACTACAGCTGCACTGTGACAGTCATTCAAATTGATATCAATGGTGCCTTAATTTGTCAGTCAAAACTCAAAAATAGTATTTTCTTCTGTGAAAAATATGGAGAAGTTACAACATCATATACACACGAAAATGCAATGTGATTTTAGGATAAAAGAACAAAACTTTGGACAAAAAAGCCTTGTATCTTCCTTGTTATCTAAATGCCTACAGTCTGCATCTAAGTTGAACATTGGGATCTAATTTTTGTATTACAAATACAGCTAAGGTTGTAACAAAGGCATCATAAATCTCCTATGTTGATTGATACAAGATGTATAGAGTACTCACACTTCCTGTACTCCTCTCCCTTCTGAGGCGAGCAGCTTCAAACGGGTTGTTGAACCTGAACATGTGCATTTTGCCCAGCAGAATCACTGCACCTGTAAGGGGAACACTGCATGTCAGTCCACTTCATAATCAAGAGGGAAGTCTGTGCTGTACTTTTGAGCCTGTTCACTAGGTGGCGCCACTAAGCTGATCAACAATGGCCTCTCAACCCAGCACTGGTGCTGCCTTTTATCTTGTAAGGAGGTTCATACTCATTGGGTGGCTGGACACTGACTAATTTGTTATTGGACAATCTCATCAAAGAGAGACCTTCATTCAAGCGGGAGGATTTTGTTACTATACAAGCAGGTTAGATGGATAGGTCACCTAGCCACTACCAGTAGATCAAAATATCCCCATTTGACATAAATAGGCCAAACAGTTGTAACTGGTCAAAGACAGGGAACAAAAGGGTTTTTTCCTCTTCATAATGGTGCAGTGTGTCACAGTGTGCCCAGTTGAGGGAGGTCCTTTCAGAGAGAAAATGGCATGACTAAATGATTTTCCAAACAGCTTGTACCCCAAGTTGTAGTGGAAATCCCAGTGGGACATCCAAGTTCAAACAGTCAATAGTAGATTTGTCTTTACCCAGGACTGAAATTGTATGACCAGAATATAATCTCTGAGTCAGCAAACACTGACCTTTGACAGGGAGCATTTAGAATTTTTGTTGCAAACAGAAATCTTAGACCAACAACGAATATCATAAGATTATGTACCACATAAAAATATAAAGTTTCACCTCAGTCTTCAAGGAGGTCTTTTAAGTTCTACCACTAGAATACATGGTGTCTTAAACAATCCAAGGGACAAATTACTGTTTTTGAGTTGTAGTTACATGATCAAGCATAAATTTTTTCTTGTGTGGAAACATTTGCTGTCTTAGCGAGGCTTTCACATTGCAATCATTCTATCCTGCCTATAGTGACCACTCAAGGGACTTGAAGAATATGGTCACAGTAGACAGGTGGCCATTGCAGATAGAAATGCCTGCGTCAATGGGAAAGTATGTAACCTAAGGGTCTACCAAAAAGTGGCCACAGTGGCCAGGTGGTCCTTATGCACAAGTAACCACTATAGTATATAAGCTGTGACTGCCTGTGTGTGTACTATTTTTGGTGATAGCCTGAATGTACTTTCCCAAGAACACCTGAATACAAAACAACATTAACATTAAATCCCCAAGAAATTAGTTTTACAGTACACAACTATTACACCATCTGCTGTGAGTTGGCTGTACTGTAACCTGCTTTCAATCCAAAAGGTCAGAGCTTTTGACAAGTTAATTTTGGAAAGTGAGATTTAACAGGTAAGACACACCTCATCTTGCACCTGTGGAGGCCACATGTTGTACCGTCAAAGGACTACTTTGTTTCCCTGCACTTTATTGCACTTGTCATAAATACTACTGACATGTACTGATAACTTGATTAGTCCCTTCACTTACTCAGTCATATTTTGACAAAGCTGAACCTTTTGTAACCTACCATCAACTGTGAGAAAGAATTTCAGCCACTCCCTTTTTCTGCTACAAGGTAGGAATTACAGAGCCATAAACTGCCTTTTTCACACCATTGAAGATACAAAATTAACAGACTGCAAGATTTTTCTAGTTCGAATTTCTTAAAGAAAGGCAAACAAGAGACCCTAAAGTATTGATTTTCTACTTGAAATTCATAGTCACATTTCCACTAGACAATAGACTGAGACGTACTATAATGAAGGTGAAACATTAGTTCTGTCCCTTAAGGGCATGTCGACAAATTTGTAGGACAAGGACTGTTCTGATGAATCTCTTATAGGTTTTTCTACAAGTGTTTCACCCACCTTGCTTCAGCCTGATAGGAGTGGTGATGTCCATGCCGTTGACTGCACAGACAGCATTGTTTACAGGATGGAGGAAAACTGTGTTGTTCTCATTCCTGATCACACAGTGCTCCTTCTCCATGAACGGGCCATCTAGGACTTTAGCAAACAAAAAATGAATACATTTAAGTTTGCATTCCATGTTCCTACCTTTCATCAAACTTTATTTTCAGAAATATCTATCTTAAGCAGAACAGAGTTTAAAAAGGTTTCAATGAAAATAGTCAGGAACAAATGCCTTACCAATGTCTGGTTCATCTTCATTTTCTTCTGTCCCGATGATAGTTTTTCCATCCTAGAAAAAGAAAAGGTAAAATATTGAACATAAAGTTACCTTTATTTTGGAGCTTGCAAGCTTGATAGCAACTGACGTGGAAAAATTTGAGATTGCACAAAAAATGATGTTGTCTATTTCAGTTACAGGTACTGGAAAAGTCTCTTTGGTACAAATTAACATTTTGTTAATTGGAGAGGACAAACTGGTGTTTTCTTGTATGAATTAATAATTTGAGTGCTTGTAGTGCTCATAATTATACTTTAATTGCTAGTATGAAGATTGGCTAGTAGCAGCATGCAGAAAAAGATCAAGATTGTATATAGAGCGTGCAATTTTTTTTAGATGCCTCTCCCTGCACCTCACCTTCAAGCGGTAAATGACAATGCCTGTACTGAGCAGAGTGTCAGCCATGCCGATAAGATGAGGAAGCTCAGAGTCTACTATCACAGCCGCAGGGGAGCGGCAGGGTCGGCGCAAGCCTAGTCTACTGTCCTAAAGAGTTAGCAAGCAGAGGAAAACAAGGCAGGCAGTGTGTCAGAGGCAGGCAAGCAGGAGTTAGTCACAAGCAGCAACATACACATTTTGCATCAGTTTTCACAGATAGACAATTGTGGATACCATTATAGTCTTCAGGTGTACATTTGTACCCAGCATCAGTCATAAATTTGAAGGAAAGTGGAGATGTATTTTTCCTTTTCCTTTTTGTTCAATACGGTTTTGCTTGAATTGTCTTTTGGTGTCTTTTTACACTTCCAAGTAGAAGACAGAAAATCATCTCAAGTAAAGGCAAAAGACTTGTACAAATTGCACTCAGCAGGAATCTGGGAGTGGAGTCCAGACAATGGTCCGAGGTGTGAAAACCCATGCAGACATTAGCGGAGTGAGTTAAGCTAACGCTGGCTGCAGGGGTCGGCTGGGCGCACCTTCAGGTGATAGATAACGATGCCTGTGGACAGCATGTCATCATCCATGCCTATCAGGTGAGGTAGTTGTGACTCCACGATCACACCTACACTGCTGGGTCTGCGGATGCCCAACCGTGTCTCCTGGTAGAGTGAGCAAAAAGTTCACATTTGTTAATCCTGGGTAATTTCATCTGAAACCTTTGGAGGTGGTCAGATGATTGTTTTTCAACCGCCTTTCTGAAGAAATTTCTTTGTACACTTCCTTCCACAGTAAGACATTAAGACTTCTGAAACCTATCCTTCCTTCAACTGTCCAAATGCAACAGCCTCAACACAATGCAGAGATGACCTGTCAAACACATAGTTTAGTTGTAAAAGTGAACCTTCTGGCATAAATATGTCAAATTTCAAATACAATAATGTGTATAATAATTAACATATTAACATTAATAATTGATAGTCATCCAAAAAGTAACCACACATTTAATAATCTAGCTGTGTGGATTATATAATGCAGATAATAACATCAAAGAAAATTTTATACATTGCAATTTTATCTCTACTTAGCAAAGAAATCTCATTCATGCCAAGAAGTGTGAAGTCTGTCAATCTGTAAGTTACTTCTTCATACATTTCAATAATACTCTACAATATCATGCTACAGTAAGTCGCAATATAACAGTTGCTTTTCCTGCTTTTCTCAACAGCATACACTTACCACTGCTTAGCAACCTACAGCTTATCAGTCCTGAACTAAGCTGTTATCTGTAGCACCTCAAACCCTATGAGCACCCAGTAATTACTAAATCCAGGGGGACCTTCACCCACTTGAAAGTGATTAGGAGAAACAGTAGGAAATGCTGAAGATGCATTATCCCTCTTATTGGTGATTTTGAGCTAAGCAGTTCCTGTATTGGTGCAGTGATACATGTACATGTACAGGGACCATGTTATTAAATGTGTACATTTGCACAGATAAGGTTAGGGGGACTATGGTCCTTCCATCTGTTTTCAATTGCATAGAAACCTTTCATATCTTGATGCTTAGTAAAGGTCTATAGGAAGAAACAGGTGTACAGAACAGATGGTGACAAATAGTCTTGAAAAAAGTGGTAGGACTGAGAAGTAAAAATAGTTCTGTACTTAGCTTCTACTGTTTGTCAATTAAATGTTAGAACCATGACAGTTTCATTATGTAATCATAATAACTTGAGCCTCTTTAGGACCACTTGGTTTTCAGGCTATGACACCTGGTTGCAAGCCCAACTTTTTTGACAGCCTTGGCCCAATTGTTCCCGATGTTGGGAAACGAGAACTATTAAGCAGATAGGGACAATAATACTTGGTTACAAAGGGAGTGGAGAGTACACCTGTCAGTATTTACTTGAGCTGTTGGCATGTCTGATTATCTTCTTTGAGATCTTGTCACTGTGGTAGTCACAATACTGAGAAGTGCACAGTGTGCCGGAAAAAGCAAATGAAAAAGTTCCAGGTGCAGTATTGGAATTTGACAGACTTACATATGATGAAGTAACAGATTGATATGTGTTAATTTACTGCGATATTTTAACGCCAAAAAGTCAGTGCACCATTTGAATCCATGCAAATCTGTTTTAATTATCTTTTCAAAAATCTAAATAGGATGTTTTTCAAACCGAGAAAACTTTGCAACAGGAAGCCTTTGCTTTGGACATCAGATGTTAATATCATCACTTCTGGATAGGATATCCCAGAGACATGTATTGATTTTGAGTTATCTAATTAGAAGACACTGATTGAAGCTCTTCTCTGCTGTCCAAACTGAGCAGGTCACAGTGAGGTCACCAGGAGAAGGAGAAGGAGAAAGAGAGCTAACACAGGACCCATCACAAACAGAACGTGTTTGCACCACTTCCACTTCTCCTCCTCAGGACCTGGAAAACATGTCAACAAGGCACACCTTGCAGGGCGGGATGAAAGGTCGCTGTGGTAACCAGGCACAGGAATGCATGACTGCTTGCACAAGAGATGGTCCTTTAGACCAGACAAAACACCTTTCACTCCGGCGGTGACGGGGGGTCCAAACTTGGGCAGATTTGGAAAGCTGCAAATCCTTAAATCCGTTATAAGACCCGAAATGATAAAGAAACAATTTGTTTGTGCATGAGAGATTAGACTGCTCTTTCTTAACTGTTTGGAATGGGCTATTCATTAGCATACTATAAATAGTAGAATAAGAAAACATTTTAGGGAAGATGCTGTATAAGTTCTTGGGGATAGCGTTGTTTGCTGGTCAGAAAGGCCGGTCGGTGGACAACCTCTCAAGTAGTTTCAAAGGTTTAATTTAAGCCCTGAACATATGTGACCACTGCTGTTTGGATCTGGTTTTATATAATGACTGACCACAATAGCAAGACAGCTATATTGTGGGAAAAATAGTAATTGGTTATTCCCTACATTAAGTTGCTGTTATTTTTTGTCTGGGAATCTTTCAATCTTGGAAAACATCTGCTAACATCAAAGCAGGATGTACATGTACATAATCATGACCATTGAATTTGAACAATCACAAAATTGGATCATCTTTGTCAGAGAAGAAATCGTTTCCGGTTAAAAATACTAAACCATCAATGGGAAACACCTGTTACAGATTTCTAGATGGTCTTATCGATGAAGTTTTTATGTAATGGCCAGGGGTAAAAATTGGTCACTCTCTTCCCGATCAACATTCAAGGGCTCTTACCCTTTCTTCACTGGTTATTTCAAGCCAACAGTATAAACACTGTGATTTCTTTTTGTATGGTACTTCACTGTAATCACAACAAAGCAGCAATCATAGAAAAAGGTGAAGATATTTCATAATTAACTTATTAGAAGGATTCAATTTTTTCCTGACTTGGTGAAAAAAGTACAATCACTTTTGCACGACAGCAGTGAAATTTGTCAAGAAAAGTGGAAAACTCTCCAGGTTCTCCATGCACACGTGATCAGGGTGTCCTGTCCTTGGGAACACTACACCACTAGTCACTTAACCTCTTCTGGCTTGACCTGGCCAGTCTTTTCACAGCAGATACAACACCGTCACCTGGTGTCCAAACAGCTCTGGATAAGGGAGACCGCTCACTTCCATGTCTTTGTATTTGGTAAACAGACATCCTGACAGTTGGTCTGTCGGGCCGTTTGTTTGGTGTGGAAAAATTAAGCAAAACATATCAGCTACCAGGCGTGTCAGCATTGTGACTGGCAGACATCACATGAGTACTTGAAAATAGAGAATGGATCAAAGCCAAGGCAAACCAGCTGCCAACTGACATAATGGCCTGTTGCTTCAATGCTTCCATTCATTTTCTAAATAAAAAACAGGTGTAGAAACCTCTTTTTTCTGGGTTGCAAGGAAACATAGAAATTGTTGTTAGCAAATGAATGACATCAGTACTAGAAAAAAATATTTGTGTTGGAACAATTGAGACAGTAAACTGATCACTTAGCCTATTTTGAAACATCCTTTGTGTCTTTTGACAAGCAACAGTCATGCAGGTACATGGCACAACGTTTTAGTTTGGTTAAAATTTGTTTGCTTACTTTCATGTCACTCTACTGACCCTTGACATTACAGACAAGACTTGAGTGTTAAGAAGATATGAAGATTTATTGCCACTGCCTAAAGGAGAAAACACCATAAAATCTGTGGTAGACTACATCTACCATCAACCATAACATTAAAATTCTTACAAATACTCTTCCACCTGAGTAGACTGTCTACCTGAGAGGGGGGTCACTGACCTGATATAGGGAAGATTAATGATTAAGTTGCCTACCTAACAGACAAGAATCCCCCTGTAACCAGGGTACCATTATGTACAGTAGAGACATACTGTGTTACCTGTATTATCGTCTGGGTCTCATCCCACTTGTCTGACCAGTCTCTTGTCAGCTGCTCTACCTGTGGGTGGAACAACAGGGTTGTTAAAGATGAAATGTGACATATCCTAACATGCCAAGACTCCCTTTGAGTTAAATAATAATCAAGCCAAAATCAAGGAACCTTTATTCATAACTCTAAGAGCAAACATACAGACTACTAAGTTTTGTAATTGCACTATGTGTTACATGTAACATATTCAAACAACAGTCACTGTTATTTTGTAGTGTCTAAGACTATCATACAGCCTGGACTGGCGATTATGACTTTCAGAAAAATGTACCTTTTCTTCATTTCTCATTAGCATCTCTGTAATGACCTGGTTCCTGTCCTCATTCAGAGACATGGTAGAGCTCCTCTGTAACAGGGAAAACATGCCAGTTACAAATCAGAGAGATCTGAGGACTCAACAGAGCAGACACAATATTAACCAATGGTATTTTTCTAAAAGAAATAACAATATCTTAAAGTTTATAAGACTTGGATGGCTGTAGTAGTAGATATGTATTAGTGGGGTCACCTTGAGGTTTGGCATTCAACAGTTATAAAGATGTATCAATAACAGTTACTGCTACATGTATTAGCTATTTATTTCATTCACAGCAACATGAAAAAATGAAATGGCTTCATGCTTTTCACTGCATACCGATGATGGGTCCCAGAGCAGAACTGGTTAGTTGGGGTACATGCTTGAATACAAAACAAGTACAACATGTATGTCACTCTGCATGGAGACATGTATTTGTCATGCTTCTCTAGGGAAAAATGCAGGTCCACATAGAAGTACCTTGTTGTACGAGTTGTGTCCATTCATAAGGTATAACCTTGCCTTTTTACACAAGGGGAGGAGAGAGAAATAAAAAAACCAAAGGTGAGGAAAACTGAGAGGAACATCAAATAATGTGACTTATCATTCAAAAAAATCCCTGACAGACACAGTCAGAAGTATACAGGTAAACCAAGTAGATATACAAAGACGAATTCATCCAAAATATTAGGGAAAAGCAACCAAAATCTATTTGAAACACAATTGATGAGAGTACTCAAAGAAATTCAGGGTCAATGAAAAGAAAATAAGACAGAATTTTCAGTATAGTACTCGACAAGCTCTGTGCATCAGAGAAAGCAGTAAAAATACTTGCAACATGAACAATTCTTCCCATTATAAAGAAGTACCTACCATGTCGTGGTTCTGCAGCAGTTTCTTTAATCTCCCGATTTCTGCCCTGAGTTCCCTGATCAGTCGCACATTTGGATCCTGGGAAAAAGGAAGGCAATATGTTTGTAAAGGATTATTAGGCCTACTTTTTAAAAGAAGTCACAACTCTACATCCTACAAATCACACACACAGCTATCAGATGCTATTTTCCCTGTTGTATAGCTACATGTACATAGCCTAAATGGCTCCCTCCCTATGGTACTATTCCGTTTAAGTGTATCAACTGAGGATATGTTTCAAAGTCCTTTGGCATTTCTGTTCTGCTTGTAAGCAAATTGGTGTCTTGTGGTGCTCAAACATGATTAGGCTCTTGTCTGACTGTTTTACTGTCTCTATCCCCATAGAAGGGCTCAGACTACAGGAAAGTATGTGACTAGCGTGCATGTATATCAATCACACCAACTTATAAATCCCCACAGCTTATAAATGGAATGTAAGATATACACATGTACATCACTGGGGGACAGTATGGGTGCATTTCTACTGCTGTATTCAGAAATGAGCTTCATCAGGTAGAAGGTGAATATTTTGTAATGTCAGAATGTTGACATATTTCTTCTAACTTCATGAGTGTCATAATGTTGATGTCATAATACTATATACATGTACATGTACATGTACATATACCTCAATATGCAAAATAAGGCTTGTCCCAGGAACTAAAAAATAGAGGAAGAAGAAACTTAATACATTTATTATTATTATACCTCATTGATCTTGGGTCTGTTGACGATCCTCTTGGCTCTCCTGGCATATCTTAAGGTATTGATGGTTTCACTGTAACAGATGCTGGCAGGGGAGATGGCTGTGGGGCAAGAGTACAGTTCAACGTTCAAATAAATCACAAGTCAGAATGTCTCTTCTATCTAGGACAGGTGGTTGGCAACCAGTCATATAAATGAAATCATCCCAATGGTATTCGCCAATTTTCGCAAAGAGGTCATTTATGAAATATGCATTGTTGATAAAGATTACAAGTGTTCATTTTCACTGAGAGCTGTTAGGAAAAGAGATGTATGTGTCAAGTCAAACATGCATGTAATATTCAGGATCATAAACTTCCAGAAGATATACATGCAATACTACAGACCTGCTATCATGATTGTCTTTGCGTTTCCACCTAGGCTGTCCTTGAGGAGCCACGTCAGTACAGAGTCCCTGTAGGGGATAAAAGCCATCTTCTTCCCAGCCTTGCCCAGGGAGGAGCCCAGGTCATCCCCGATGCTGCCAAAACTCTCCGTACTGGCAGACAGGAGGGAGTTCTCAGCTGGAAATACACAAATACATCAGTCATTACAGGATATAACAGTTTGTTTGGAAGTAACATTGCAGTGCAAAGGTATGAATCCAAGCCCTCAATTCAAAAGATGCTGACTAAAAGAAATTTAAATCATTTCATAGCATGAAATATGATATGAATAATCATGCTGGTAAACAAATTCACCAAATGCTGCCCATCACCTGATTAGCAAAAAAGCAAAATCAATGAGCATAACTACGATATTATTCATATCTTTCACTGACAGAGCAGTTCAAAATGGCTTGCAAGCACGTCACAGTATTGCTTGGAATGTAGCTGCAATGTAGGTTGATGCCAGTTGCCAATTCCAAGAGCATCATTATGACATTTCTAAAGATGTTTTACTTCTTCCCCAGTGTGGCTTATCACCTGTATGTGTTTGTGCCATGTCTGAAGAGATGCTGATCAGTGACAGACAGTGCAGACTGGGTATTACCAGTATTAGCTTGCGGGCAGAGGAAGTCTTGTTTTTAACAAAAAGGCGAAGATGCAGAGCAGCAGCAGTAAAGAGCGCGAGAATTAAGTGAAGAGGTCTCACATGTCCAGGGCGAACTTGTGGCGCCCTTCTCCTGTTGGTAGGCTGTCCGGGGGTTAGTTGAGTGGCAAGGAGGAAGACAATAACAAACACAAGGATGGGTCGGTTACTCCAGGTGAAGGTAAGAGTAAGGGTGGAAAAAAAGTTAATGATCGTTAAGATATGTGTGCAAGTTACAGACAATGTCAGAATTGAACGCTTAGTCATACATACTTGTCTCATATGCTACAAAAATGTGCTTTTGAGTTATTTAAAGAGGCTATGTTATGAAAAAAAACTGGGTCAGGTTTCAGAGTTTTCAGTTTCGAGGTGAGTCAATAATTAAGGTGAAAATAGCAGAAGAAAATTGAGAAATAATGGAAAGACAGAGAGTTTACCTTGGTTTGTTGTAAGAACTTACCGAGCGCAGAAATGACTGTTCCTAGAGTTACCAGAGATCTGTTGATATTTGCACCTTCTTTTAACCTGTCTTTGTGGTAGTTTGGGTCAGCCCTTTCACTGCAGATAGAATAAAACACAGTTAGATCACAAGGTTACAAAGAAATGCATCCAATTTGAATACCAAACATATCTCAAAACTGACTTATTTAGTATCAAATCACATTTATAGGTAACTCAATCAACTATTACAAATGGACACTTACTTGGCATTTGTGCTCAGTTTACTTCATTTTTTCACATATTATAAATCATATCTGAAGAGAGAAAAAAAAACTTACTTACCTTCCAGCTAAATCTACAAGGTGAATTTTGCTAACTATCTCACGTGGAAGATTGTCTTCTAATTTGGCCTGCAACAGAGAACAATCAGAATGGTTTTAGCCTGGGTCATTGATTCCACAATAACAGGAAGATGGTTAGGGCAATGTACATATCAAGCAACCAACAATATAAAATATCAAGTTGTGAGGGACAAAACACAAATCTCACCTGAGAGAAGTAAATGGTGAATATTGCATGTGATCTGCTGCTGAGGTCATGGATGTAGGTGGCAGCAGTTGTTCTGCAAACAAGACACAAACATCATGCATCATATAAGTTAAACAGATCTTACCGTATCATAGTCTGAAAAAAATCAAGAGGAAAAGGCTCCACCCCTGAGGCATTGCCAAGAAAAGTCATGATCAGCTCATCAAAGTACAATGTATGTGTAGTTTGACTCACCTATTTTCATTGCCCCTTTGAATGAGCCTTTCTAATGAGGTGTAGTCTGATACTAAATGTCTTGATAAATCTGCAGAAAAAACAATGATTTAGAATGATTATGATATTAAACATTATGAATCGTTAATACCAGTAGCTACTTAGATAAAAGTAACCTTCTCAATCATAATGGATATGAAATGAAGCTCTTAAGATCCTTTACATATTGTGTCAAAATTCAGTATACCATTAAGTGCAGATTTTCAACAGTACAATATACAACTCGTAAGAGGTGTATTTAGAAAGTTTGTAGATGTTAGTGAATATGACAGTTCTTACCTTGTACATAAGGCCCCTTCTCCGGGTGTTCCCGCACCTTGAGACTGTAGGTGTTTGCCTTGGCACCAGGATGGCACAACAGGTCCCTGACTCTTTCATTGTAGATTTCCAGATAGCTGTGGGTAGCAAGGTGATAAGACGTCAACTTGAGTACAATCTTCAGTTAATGAAAATCTTCTTGTCAAAACTATCATGGCAATCCTTCAAATGAGGGGAGTGATAAGAATTATGAGGAGAAGATGTGTGGTTACCTGACTTCCGTCTTGAAGGTAACACGCTCTCCAACATGGTCGTCTATTCTTGAGAACAAACCCTGTTATGTGTAATAAAACATGCATTGTGAAAAGTGAACATTGAGCACTGATGCCTGGAAGGGACATGTAACTTGTACATTTATCATTTTGATAACAAAAGTACAGATGAGGTGTAGTTGACATTGTATGTTGTACATGTACCTTTTTCGTGATGATTACATGATATAAACATAAGAAATTTATTTCTACAAGCTATGCTATGTAGTAATTTCCAACTTTAAGGAACATCGATATATCATTTGTATCTTTCATGCATACAGAGCATATGGAACAGTAGCATGATCTTTTAGGTGGAAAAGAGCCAAGATGACTCAGCATGTTACCAGACCAATGCATGGGACAGACTTTCAGTCCAAGTTATGACATAACTGACACAGGGATGTTACCACATGACATCAACAGAAAAGAATGGTGACGCTAACATCTTACATGACATGACAGGGAGATTTAACCCTAACCCCAGGATATAAGACACAACATAAAAACTAACAATGCCACGGAAGAGACTGTGCCTGCTTGCATTTCCGTTCAATAAGATCATTTGTCAGCAAGATCCTGATCAGTCTTTTCCTTTGAACAACATGTCCATAGAAAGATGTCATTTCCTTTTAGGTGTATATGTAGGTGGAGAAGGTTGCTGTTTGACAAGCCGTGTAGCTTAAGTTGAAATAAGGGACATATTGTGCTTTTAACAATGGACAGATGGCTGGTGCTTTAAATGTTTATGTTATATAGCCCCTCTCGTGTGTGCGAGGTACTTTGTGAGAATCCTGTCACACTTGAAAAGACTACCTGTACCCATCTTCAATCTACAACATGTATAATCATGCAGAAGTTCAAACATTTAGACCTAACTGTGATACATTAACTA